TTAAAAAGAATTTCTTTGCAGGGCTCCAGAGGTCTGACTGGGCCCAGAGGTCGTCCTGGACCCCCAGGCCAGGCCGTGAGTACCAACGCTTCACGTTTCCTTCCTGGCACACACACACACACACACACACACACACACGCGTGCAATCACAGCAGCTACGTTCTCACACATAAATCTTTCCACACGACGGCAGTAAAACACACACATCTGATTCTTATGAAGGGATGATGATCATCATCATCATCATCATCATCATCATCATCATCATCATCATCATCATCATCTGTAACCGTCTTGTCTTTGTGGCTTTTATACAGCGCTCTTCTCTCTCATGAGACAGTGTCGTTGTCGTTGTTGTTGTTGTTAACTCTTTACTCACACACACACACACACACACACACACACACACACTCAGTGTCTTGTGTTGCTACTGTAAAGCTCCAGCTCTTTTTTCATTTGTTCACTGACTCCTCTGTCGCCTCGTAGGGACTTCGAGGCATTGATGGTGTCCAAGGCTCCAAGGGGAACACAGTGAGTCTAACACAGTCCGACCGACCGACCGACCGACCGACCACCCAGCCGGATCACACACTGCTCATCAACTACAACAACACGTTTCCTTTTTTTTTTCTTTTTTTTTTACACAGGGACAACCGGGAGAGATCGGAGCGCCGGGACAACAAGGCAACCCTGGCATCGTGGTACGGACCAAAAAAAAACAAACCGATTTTTCCACTCATGTAAAGTCAGTTGACTCTGAAGAGCGTTGTTAATGCTGCCGCTCTCCTGCAGGGCTTCCCTGGTCCTCAAGGGTTGGTGGGGCTGCCAGGTGATAAGGTACGTGTCCTGGGGTCGTCCTTGGAGCGGTGAGAATACGTGCTGACCTTGTGATAACTGACGCTGTGAACTTCTCTCAGGGTCCTCAAGGGAAAAAAGGGATGCAGGGATTACCTGGAAACGACGGGCCCCCAGTGAGTTCTCCCTTTGACTCGTATTGACTTTAGAAATCCTGTCGTCTCGTCATCCTAGTCTTAGAATCACAACCACATTCCTAACTGAGTCCTGGTTTTGTCAGGGTCATCCTGGGAGGGAGGGAACACCAGGTGAAAAAGGACTGCCAGTAAGTCTGCGCCGTGTGGACACATCAGTGCACTGCAGGTGACCTGCTCTTTCTGTGGTAGCAGGAAGTAACCTTTGTGTGACCCTGCCTTCTGTTCCAGGGCCCTTCAGGAGTGCAGGGGCCCGTTGGATATCCTGGCCAACGAGGGGTTAAGGTAAACAGGACAATCTTTTCTGTTTCATTTTGATGCAACTGTTAATAAACATCTAAACATGGATGTACATGTTTGAGTTGTTCTGAACAGACGCTCATGGAGTTTGTCTTTGACAGGGAGCTGATGGTATCAGAGGACTGAAGGGAAGCAAAGGAGAGAAGGTGAGAGACAGAGGTCTGAACTGGCCATCCGTGCTCTGACACCAGGTCCTGTCTCTTTCTCTCTGACTTCCTGTATGTCCACAGGGTGAGGATGGTTTCCCAGGAGCCAAGGGAGAAATGGGAGGAAAGGGAGACACTGGAGACAATGGGATGACAGGAGCCAGAGGAGAAGACGGACCAGAGGGGCCCAAGGGCCAAATGGGTCCCCTGGGTGAACTTGGCCCAGCTGGTACCTCTGGAGAGAAGGTATGAACGTGGAACAACACAAAAATATTATTATTATTATTATTATTATTATATAAATTAATAATAATGTAATGTATATATAGTATATATATATAAATGGAAATGAGGTGGAGGTGTGTCAAATGCTCATAGCACCCCCTGCAGGAGAGGGAGTGGAATGCTAACATTCCAGAGTGTAGCTGTAGTTTAACATGTAGATTCATGAGCTGCTTCATGTCAGTCCGACTGTCCAGGAGCTGAAGACAGCTCTTTTTATTTAGTCCAGCTTCAAGAGGACAGTTTCAGTCGTTCAGAGTACGCGTACGCTACACCGCCAGTTTTTAATCAGTCCAAATGTTTTTCCTCATTATTTCGTGTGCAGGGCAAACTCGGTGTTCCTGGACTTCCAGGATATCCAGGACGACAAGGTCCAAAGGTAAAAACAGTCCGGAAACGACAAGGTCCAAAGGTAAAAACAGTCATGACCGGAAAAAAAGAATAATGATTTCAGTCAATATTCACAGGATCTGTGGGTTTTTCTTCCCTCAGGGATCTGACGGCTTCCCTGGAGTACTGGGAGCCCCAGGAGAGAAAGGGAAAAAAGTGAGTGGAGGATTTAAACCCACAACCTGCTGTTTCAGGAAGGACGACCTCATGACCTCGGTGTGTTTGTCTGTTCTTCTTCCTGTGCTCAGGGTCCGGCGGGACAGGGAGGCAGCGTTGGACAAAGGGGTCCAAATGTGAGTGCCCTGGTACCGTGAGGAAATGAAGTTCAACCTCAGAGTTAGAGCTGACGACACACGAGGGGCGGGGCTAAATGTCGCTCCTGGTTCTCCTTTATTTTCCCAGCGTTAATTGATCATCGGCTTTATTTATGATAGGACTGTGACCGGATTCCCAGGCGTGTTGAGCCAGAGTGTCATCGACAGGTTGGGAGTTTGACCCCCACCCAAAAGGCCCAGGGTCAAGTGTGTCAGTGACCTCAGTATCTAGTCTCTGAACACTGTTCCAGTCCAAACACATCATGTTGGTCCTGTTGTCTGGTGACGCTAGGCGTATTCTATCTGTAACCACAGGGGGGCGCCCTGGAGTAATAGGTTATAAATCCCAAATCATTTCTGCCTTATTTTTGTTACGTTGGTTAAGCATTTCATCCATTAGGGGGCATTACTGAGTTAGAAGTTAATTTCCAGTTTTGTTACGTGTTGAAGTATCTGCATCTGCGAACTCTCCAAAACCTCAACTGGACTGTAAAAGTCAGCAGTCGTTTTAGCAACATTAGCTTCCCCGCTAACACTCATCACATGTCTGATGTCACATGGTCCAGGGGATGATTATGAACAGCTGACTTTATAACAATCTATAGTTTTGTACAAATGTACAGCTGTTCAGAATCAAGAGGAGTCGGACGACGGCACGGATCTGAGCACCACATGTTGAGCACACGTAAACAAGAGGAAGAAAGAGTTTAGTTGCTGATCAGATCCTGTTTCTTTGGCACCACCTGCTGTTCTAGGACTGTAAGTCCAGAGAAGTTCTGGATCAGTACTCAGGACTCATGTCTCCTCTTCATTAGGGTGCACGAGGAGCCAGGGGGGCCAGGGGGCCCACGGGGAAATCAGGAGAAAAGGTCAGTTGGTGCTGTTGGTCTTTGAAGTCATTCACCTGACGTCCTTTACACTGCAGTCTCTTTAATCCTTTAAACCCCGTCATCACAGGGGGCCTCTGGAAACGACGGACCCCCGGGGTCTCCAGGAGACAGGGTGAGTGAGACCCTCAGGATCAGAATCACTCCACAAACACAGGGTTCATCACTGACGGCTGCTTTGGTTTGATTCTTTTTAAGGGACCTCAAGGCCCTCAAGGACGGAATGGTGAGCCAGGACCAAAGGGGGCAGTGGTGAGTCCTCAGTCACACACGTTACTGCAAACGTTGTTTTTCTGATTCTGTAAGTTGTTATTCTTTACTTTCTTTACTTTTTTGGTCTTTTTATCGTCTCCTTCTTACTGTTGTTGTTGTTTTATTGTTTATTGTTTTTCTCTGACTTTTCTTTATTATAACAGATCGATTTCTTCTCTGTTCAAATGAACTGAGCTTCAAATTCATTGTATTTGTTTCCAGGGTCCAGCAGGTAAAGATGGACTTCCAGGTCACCCAGGTCAACGAGGAGAACCAGTGAGTGGAGTCACCAGGGGTCACTGGACACACACACACACACACACACACACACACACACCTGCAGAGTTTAAGTTTAATTCAAATCTTTTCTGCAGGGATTCCAAGGGAAGACCGGTCCTCCTGGACCAGGTGGTGTGGTAGGACCTCAGGTGAGTTGATCTACAGAACAGAACAGTACAGAACAGTACAGTACAGAACAGTACAGTACGGTACGGTACAGAATAGTACAGTACAGTACAGAACAGTACAGAACAGAACAGTACAGTACAGTACGGTACAGCACCGTATAGAACAGTACAGTACGGTACGGTACAGTACAGAACAGAACAGAACAGAACAGTACAGTACAGTACAGTACAGTACGGTCCAGCACAGTATAGAACAGTACAGTACAGAACAGTACAGAACAGTACAGTACAGTACAGTACGGTACAGTACAGTATAGAACAGTACAGTACGGTACGGTACAGTTCTAACCCATAAACGTCACATTTTACATCAAAAAAATCAACTCTTTGGATTCCAGGGTAAATCTGGAGAACCAGGTCCAGTAGGAGACCGAGGTCATCCGGGGGCACCAGGAGTTCCTGGAGAACACGGTTTACCTGGAGCTGCTGGAAAGGAGGGTGGAAAGGTGGGCGTCGCCTATATTCCTGTCATTCCATTGGTTGCCAGCTCCATGCAGCTCGTCTGTAGTTCTCTGCCTGTTTCTTTTTTTTTTTTTTTGCCCTTCCTCAGGGGGACCCAGGTTCACATGGGGCATCTGGAAAGAACGGCCCCACGGGTCTGAAGGGGTTCAGGGGGAGTCGAGGAGCACCTGGAATAATGGTAAGACGGCAACACACGGATGACACTGAAGAAGAAGTGGGAATATTTAACATTTTATTCATGGTAATATCCATGACTTTCCAGGGTCCTCCAGGTCTGAAGGGAGGAGCTGGACCTCAAGGATCCCCCGGTGGAATAGTAAGTTATCACGAAATGAAAACAGCTGTTCATCAGGATTCATCCATGACCTTTTTAATGTCAAATCCTACCTCTTTCAATAGGGGGCGACAGGGGAGAGGGGTCCTCCAGGGGCAGCCGGGGCCATCGGTCAGCCTGGCCGGGCCGGAGCGGTTGGAGGAGGTGGACCAATGGGAGAAAAGGGGGAGCCTGTAAATACAACCACACTTTCTTCTATTTCCTTCTATATGACTCTCTGATGTAGTTGGATGTGAGAAATCTGACCAGTAGGTGGCAGAAGATTCAAGTATCAATAAAACGCACTTTTATATTATATATACATACAATTATACACTTCTGAGCAGGAATCAGACGCTTGACCAAACAAAGTTATGATCCGACCTCATCGACGTCATCTTTGTCTCGAGGGTGAAGTGACCTTTGACCCAGAGAACCATGTTCACTGTGACATGTTCTGTATGTGTGTCTGTGTCACAGGGAACTGCTGGACCTATTGGACCAGCGGGTCAGGATGGAGAGCAGGGACCAGGTGGGATGCCTGGAGCTACAGGTCCTGCTGGACATCCAGGGGACGATGGAGACAAGGTCTTGTCTGCTGGGTGTGTGTGTGTGTGTGTGTCTGCTGCAGTCACTGCTGCTGATACTTGGTGTGTGTGTGTGTGTTCACAGGGAGAGCAGGGAGGTCCAGGACAGAAGGGAAGCAAAGGAGACAAAGGAGAAGCAGTGAGTAGAACCTGGTCCGACTGAAGTCTCTGGTTTCTACTGGACAATCACATTCATTTTTCTCATTTGTTTCTTTCATTCTTCAGGGCCCCCCAGGTCCCACTGGCCCCCAGGGGCCCATTGGTCAACCAGGTGTTCCAGTAAGTTCTGCTGTTGAAATGTTCTCACCGTAATGAAGACCAGTGAAGGGGGAGACACTGAGGACATGTTGAGACATCATGAATGTTGAGACATCATGAAGAGACCAAATATATCAGATCAGTCACAGCACAGACTGACCTGTAGATCAGCACAGACTGACCAGTAGATCAGCTCAGACTGACCTGTAGATCAGCACAGACTGACCAGTAGATCAGCTCAGACTGACCTGTAGATCAGCTCAGACTGACCTGTAGATCAGCTCAGACTATTTAGAAAACGGTTATTTCCCTCAACAATTCAAGAACAAATGTTTAATCTGGGAAGTTTATTCATTTACTAAAACATAGGCTCAGTGTATCAACGGTGCCCTCTTGTGGCTGTAGTCACGGGCCATATTTTTAATGTATAATCTGCTTTATTTGAACTTATATTTGGAAAAATACTGAAGAAGAAGAACCACAGACAGACCAGTACAGACAGATCACCACAGACAGACCAGCACCGCCTTAGTCCTGGTTGTGGTCCAGTGGTCCAGTGGGCCAGTGGTCCAGTGGTTCAGTGGTTCAGTGGTCCAGCGGTCAAGTGGTTCAGTGGTTCAGTGGTTCAGTGGTTCAGTGGTCCAGCGGTCAAGTGGTTCAGTGGTTCAGTGGTCCAGCGGTCAAGTGGTTCAGTGGTTCAGTGGTCCAGTGGTCCAGTGGTTCAGTGGTCCAGTGGTCCAGTGGTTCAGTACTTGTCTCTGGTCTGTAGGGAGTGGATGGACAGTCCGGTCCTCGGGGTCAGCAGGGCATGTATGGTCCAAAAGGAGACGAGGGTCTGCGTGGCTTTAAAGGAGCAACAGGACCAATAGGATTACAGGTAGGATCCGTTCAGGAGACAGGAAACGGAGCACAGGAAGTGACGCGACGTGGACTCTAACCCTCGCCCTCCTGTTTTTAAGGGTATGCCGGGTCTTCCAGGAGAAAAGGGTGAGAGTGGACACGTGGGACTGATGGTAAGTTCAGGTCAGGAGTGTTTACGGTGTTCAACACCAATGAATTCAACCCTTGTTTTTGATTCAGGGTCCACCTGGACAACAAGGACCCAACGGAGCCCAGGGACCAATCGGAGGACAGGTTGGTCTCCTTTAAATGTCTTTGAGAACTTGTTATGACTGTGAAGGAGAAAAATAAAAAGCTGTGCTGTGCAGGGTCCCAGTGGTCGGGCAGGGATGATCGGTCAGCCGGGGGTCGTTGGAGAGAAGGTACAAAATAACAACAACAATAATATGTCCGTCAAGTAAGACAGTTCACCGCAGTGTTTCCAACCCTGGGGTCAGGACCCCACATGGGGCTGCCTGAAATGTCTAGTAGTTCATTTAAAACAAAGTCACCTGGATACTCTGTATTTACAACCTCATGATTAGAAATCATACTTCTAGAAAAAAAAAACGTGTTTTTAAAATGTGGACACGAGCCAAAAAAGGCCGAGAACCACAGGTTTATCTCCATTAACTCCTGACAGGTTACAGCTGGTGATCTTAATCTAACCAGTGTCAACTAGTAACCCCTGATTTATATGAGACTATTCTAACGATGTGTGTTTGTCAGGGGGAGGACGGTGAGGCAGGCGACCCTGGATCAGTCGGGGTCTCAGGAAGGACGGTCAGTCTAAAGATACTCTTCATCTTCATCTTCATCTTCATCTTCTCTGACTTTTGCCTCCAACACTGTTTTTTTTTTTCATTTCTTTGTAATTCAGGGTGAAAAAGGAGACCAGGGGGAGAAGGGGGACACGGGCGCCCCGGGGGCCGCAGGTCCACCAGGATCTCGAGGTCTTCCTGGACAGGATGGATCCAAGGGCAACTCTGTGAGAAAGACTCAAACGAACCTACCCCCCCCACCTGACTTTTTATTTAGCGTTAATGGCTAACTGTTTTGTCTGTCCTCAGGGTCCTATTGGTCTGACTGGGGACATTGGACAACAGGGAGAGGCTGGACCTAACGTGAGTGGCCTTGGTTCTTCCCCTGGTCTTGGTCTTGGTCCTGGTTCGGGTCTGACCTTCTTATTCACGTGTGTGTCTTGACTGTCTTGACTCCTCAGGGTGTGGACGGTCTGCCGGGGTCTAAAGGAGACACTGGAGATCCTGGGACACCTGTGAGCTCCTCCTCCACACGTCTGATCCAGGATCCAGGTGGAACCATCAAATAACTGAGCTGTAATCACCTCCTCCGTCTCTGCAGGGTCCACCAGGAGCAGCAGGAGAACCCGGACCTGCTGGACCTCCTGGACGAAGGGTGAGTGTTTTGGTTCTGAGGTCAAAGGTGAACTCAGTACTCCATAGTACTCTGTGTGTGTAGTATTATGGCTGAGTCGCTGATCTTTTCCCAGGGCCACTTGGGAAAACCGGGAAAGGAGGGGAAGGCGGGCGTGAAGGGGGTGAAGGTGAGTCAGAGACCAGGTTTCGAACCCCCCCAGACTCTGATCTTCACAGTCTGAACTCCTTGTTTCAGGGAGCTCCTGGTCTGGAGGGGCCCGTAGGAAAAACAGGACCAGTAGGAGCACAGGGACACCCGGGAAGACCTGGGCTCCAGGGTCTGAGAGGGATCCCCGGACCTGCAGTGAGTTGGTGAAAGACAGAGAGACAGAGAGAGACAGAGAGAGAGAGAGAGACAGACATGGACCTGTCTCTGTGTGTTTCCTCAGGGGGAGCAGGGCTTGAACGGACCCCTAGGACAGACCGGTCCACCAGGTCCAATGGTGAGAGAACACCTTCAATAAACCAGTGTTATTTTACAGCGGATACAGGCTCCACCTGGGGGGGGCAGGTCATGTGACCTGTCTACAGGATCCACCTGGGGGGGGCAGGTCATGTGACCTGTCTACAGGATCCACCTGCAGCAAAGAGGAAAGAAGGGGGGGATGAAATAAACACCCATCAATCTATACATAGGATCCACCTGCAGCAAAGAGGAAAGAAGGGGGGGATGAAATAAACACCCATCAATCTATACATACATCCATCATCCATCATCCATCATCCATCCACCACACAATCCATCATCCATCCACCCATCATCCATCCATCCGTCCATCCATCATCCATCCATCCAACATCCATCCATCCGTCCATCCATGACTGTTACCATGGCAACAGAGGAGGTTGACCTTTAGTTGACCTTTAAGACCCTCGTTAATGCAGTACGACCAGACTGGTTTTCAACCCTAAGGCTTTTTTATCCAATCAGGGTCCACCAGGACTGCTTGGACTGAAAGGAGACCATGGGAAGAAGGGAGACAAGGTAAAGTAGTGCTGTGGCTGTGGCTCCGCCTCCACGCTGTCTGGAGCTGTGACTGAAGGACTCACTGTGTGTCCAGGGTCACGGAGGACTCATCGGCCTCATCGGACCACCAGGAGATATTGGAGAGAAGGGGGACAGAGGACTTCCAGGAATCCAAGGACTGCCTGGTCCAAAGGGAGACGAGGTGTGAGGCCACGCCCCCACAGGGCCTGAGGATCAAACACAATATTGTTGTGTCCATTTCTTCAAACGTCTTTTTCTGTGATTGTTTCAGGGTCCAGTTGGCTCAGCAGGTCCCTCTGGACCCCCCGGCCCCACCGGCCTGTCTGTAAGTACAGAGTGTTTAGTTCTCAGGACGTGACCTTCAGTTTGTTGACACCAAGTGCATGCTGTCTCCGTCTCCGTCTCCGTCGCCGTCTCTCAGGGGATTGTGGGTACGAAAGGCTCCAAAGGAAACCAGGTCAGTCTGACTGTGAGTGGATGGTTTGGTGGTTGTGTCCCAACATTGAAGTGTGTTTATAAACGTGTTGTGATGTGTTTGTTGTTCAGGGACCCATTGGCCCCCGAGGAGACACCGGACCAGCAGGGCCTCCAGGACCTCCAGTAGGTTCTGGAACACAGGACGGGGTCTTGGTCTCCGTAATGGTTCAAACTTCACTTTAGGAACACATTTTTACATTTCTTTTTGACTCCCCCCCCCTCTTCCTCCCCTCCCCTCCCCTCCCCTCCCTCCTCTGTCCTCTCCTGCCTTCTTGCTCCCGTTTCTCCCCCGTCTCCCCTCAGGGGCTGCCAGCCTCTGGGATGTACCCTCTGCCCGAGCGGGGGAGGAGAAGGAGAACCCACGTCTCTGAGGACGGTGCTGCCCCGGAGCAGGAGGAGGAGGAGGAGCAGGAGGAGGATGTAGTGGACGGAGGAGAGGTGGAGTGGCTGCAGGGCGACCAGGCGGAGACGGACAACTGGGTGAAGAAGGAGGGCCAAGACATGGAGGAGGTGTTTGCGTCTCTGTCCTCCATGAAAGTAGACGTGGAGGGACTCAGAAACCCCCTGGGGACGTACCACAGCCCGGCTCGCACCTGCAAGGAGCTGTGGCTCCTCAACCCCAGACTCCCCAACGGTAGGCTGTCAGCGATTGGACAGGGGTTTATCTGAGACATCTGAGACATCTGAGACATCTGAGACATCTGAGACATTGGTCACGTTAACTGAGTTCTTACAGCAGTTGAAATTTGGGTGTCAACCAGCAGAGGTCGCTAATTAGTGTGTCTAGGTTGGTGTGGTGGTCTGTCTCACTCTTCAACAGTGTTAAAGCTGTGGTCAGAGGAGACAGAGGTCAGAGGTGACAGAGGTCAAAGGTGACGGTCACCGTGTCACCACTTCATTTATTTCCTCCTTTAAATCAGTGAAACATTTCCACCTGACATGACTGTGTCCACTGGACAGTCACTGGACAGTCACTG